ATTACATAATTAATATCTCTTTAGTTATAGTGAATGATTTAGATTATTGTTCTCTTATAATACTTCGGGATGTTCGATTTGTCGTCGAATTTTCAAGGATATGAAGATAAAAGGAAAGGAAAAATATGGCAGCTACTTCGCGCCATGAACTTTGAACCATTAATGTATCCTTGCTTCACTTTTTGTCCCATTCTGAAAATATTTCCACAAGATCAACGTTTTAATCATTGAGATTTATAAACCATATTATATTCTATCGATTATTATTATTTGCCTTTTCTGTGTTTACGAACTGTTATTATTCTATTACATCAATTTTGTTGAAAACAATTTAAACTAAAAATATTCCAATTAAACTTGAACGTAACTGTTACTACTTTTTAAATGGTTTTACAACAATCATAATATTCATTTTATGTAGACCAAACATGTCGAATGCGATTACTTCAAACTTTAATGGACATTTCTTTAAGATTGCCGCAGGAATCATATCAGAACCTATCTAAATTGATCCATGCCAAGGATATTTTTGGATTTTTTTATAGTTGTGCCGATATTTGCTTATAAATATTTGCTTATAAATTTCAAACGAATATCGTACATTACATTTTTGCGACTTACTTACTCCATTTATTTATGTTTCAAATGTATATGCTAAACATGAATTGTGTTTGCTTATTAAAAGCTTGTTTCAAACAAATCAATGACATCTGATTACATTGCGAAAATACATGACAAACGATAAATCACATCTTTTAAATAGAACTTATCAAGCAAAGAAATTCGTTCGTACTAATATAACTCAAGGCTCTGATGAAGCAGCATTTGGCAATCAGCGATACAATACAGATGCTTATAATGAACTTCAGTTTGCAATTCCTTTCTATGATAATTATGGCCTTCATTGAAATCACTTTCAACCTGTATTATTATTTAGTACAAACACAAAAAGATGTGTTTACGAGCGATCGAATAAAAAAACAAGTCTTTAACGAGGTATTTGTTTCAGCTATAATGTATGACACTATAAAAATAGTGTTGGTAATTTGGGCTTGTCAAACTGGCAAAAATCAAATCTTGGAGATGAATACTACCGTTCACGACGTGTATAACAGTATCAACAATAAAGATGTAAAATATGAAGTAGTTTAAGATAATTTTAATTTAATTTCATGTATTTTCTAATATACCCTGCGTTTACCAATGCAATTTGTAACATATTAATTATTAAATTTATATGTACGTATTTTGATTATATTTAACAGATTTTTTATTTGCAGCTACAGTTATTTTCCTTGCAATTAATGCATTGTGAAAATATATTTTCCAAAAGTACTTCTTGTGAATGCTACGCTTCTCACTACGGTAAGTGAATTATCATTTTATTTTTGTTAAATAAATACAAATATATTTAGCTGTATTTCGTAATTTGTTTCTTTTTAGATGGTGGGTGGCACATACCTGTTAATTTTAATACAATTTTTTTAATGTCCAATTCTTGCAATATGAAATATTAATTTTACAAATGTAGAAGGTTATTAACATAAAGATACTTAAATCGAATATGTAAAATTGTATACCAAATATTAAACATACTTGTTCTATTATTGTAAACAGAATGTCATTGTGAGTGACATTTTATGCTTATAGTTACATAATTATATTCGTATATGTGTATGCATATATAAGGAATCGAAAAATTTAAATGTCTTATATTACATATATATAAATAATTATTTCCAAACAAATGATACATTTTATTTATGTATATAATTAAACAGTATATGAAAGTATATGTTTAATTAGACAACGTACGTAATGTTATTATTTCAAAGGAAAATCGGTTTGAACTTATTAAATATATCCTGAAAAATTTTCAATTCTTCAGTATACTTGTGTTATAACCAAAGAGTAAAGAGAAATGTTTGATTCTAAGTTTGAATCTAAACAGACGGAAGTGACTATATATATTAGCATAAAAAGTGGACGTTTAAGATGGCTGCTATGACATACATTCGTCGACGACGGATTTAGCTACTCCCACTATTAATATATTCCCTCTCATTTCTCTTTATTCTTTGGTTATAATCAATTCTACGTCTATAATCAAGTGTTTTTTTTTATAATACAAACGAAATTTTACGTATCAATTTTTTCGAAATAAAAAAGAACCCGATTTCCTTTCCTAATTGTAAAATATTGTATCTTGTTAAAAAAAACTTTTAGTGTAATTTAATTTTAGTGTGTTTAGTGTAATTAGATTTTGGAGAAATCTTAAATTTTTCACATTGTTTGAATACCCAGTTAAAAATACGCAGGTTGGATAAGAAAGACAGATTGCGAATGGAATAATTTTATTAATGCATTCAAATATTAGTCATTAATAAATTAAAATATTCGAAAAAAAGTTTGATATCAAATTTATGTAATTCATAACAATGTGTATAATGAATATATTAAATTATGTCTCAGGTGAATTGTTGTCATGTTTTATATTAATGTTTTGATTAATGCTAATTTTAATTTTAGCAATATATATATTTAACTTTCTGAGGACCGGCATGTTTTTGATCAATTTTTTTATTTTAAGGGCTACAATTTTTTGTCATTAGCATGGAGTGGCGAAAAAAAGTGATGCCACTGTCGAGTCTATAAAGGAATCTTCTTTAAAAATTAAATATGAAAGAAAATATTAATTTTTTATTTTTTATGTCATATTTATGTCGATATTTGTATGAAATTCTTTAATAATATTCTATAATAGGTCTGTATTTCTATGATATGTAATCTTGCAATTCTGAAATTATATTTCAACATTTATATATATGTAGAAATATTAAAATTATATTTCAATATTTCTGCATTTCAAACTGTAAGATGTGTAATTTTCAGAGATGATTTTCGTTGCAGTATGCATTGTGATTATAAAATGCATTTCTTTTCCATTCAACAATTATTTTGCACAATAATGTTCTTTTATTGTATCCTTTGTAATCCTTTTATTTTCACTATCAAATCACTATCAATCGTAAAGTAATAAAATGAGAAAGAAGAGAGAAGGCGTAAAGTACTTTTCATTTCTGAAACTTTGTAAATTTTGCATCTTGAAGTAATGATGACTCATCTTGAAATATTTTATTTAATATTTATATATGTATATGTAATGTTTATAAATACGTAAAAAGAAACAGATTATCTTATCTCTTACAAAATATTATATTGAAGATGTCCGATTTAAGCAGATAATTATACAAGTTTATTCAACATGAATGCATATGCAGCAAAGAATCTATAATTCATAGATATTAAATCTGCGTAATTACGATGATAGTCTGTATTGGACTTACTTAAAGTATTGGTTTATAAAAAAATGTTTTTTAAATCATACATAAACTCAACAATAATATTGAATACACTAAATGCAATTCTTTAAGAGAATTTTAAAGTGAAACCAGAACTGTAATGATCGCTGTTTTATCGATATACAATGCAACACACCGACATCAGCAGACACAGTAATGTTTTCTCGGCATTAAGGCAAGTGCAACGACATTAGCTATTTTACGCGAGACCGCGAATTGCGAGAGATAGCAATTATTAGATCTCAATAATGAGGCTGAACCGATCAGGTTCTACATATATCTTTTACTACTACAACAATATTTCACGCACGTACATACATAAATTTTAGAGCAGTTCAAAATTTGCTTATTAAAAATTTAAAACAAAATTTAAAACAAAAATATGCTCTTTAATTCCTGACTTAATTTAATAAGCTATACATTTATTGTAACTTTGAATTTACATGTATATGAATCGAATGGAAGTCTAACTTGATAATTCATTCACTTCGTACATGATCTAGATGCGAAAGATTGTGAATTACATAATACTTAATTATTATTAACTATACATCATTATTATATGTTGCGTAGATGTGATAACTAGAGAAAAATTAAAATATTCTATATATAATTATATATAATTATATATAAAATGTGTTTATATATATAACATTTTTTCCCGGGAGAGAAAAACCATGGTTACATCACGACTAACAAACTCCGAGTTCTATGTCGATATACAATGCAATAATTCTTGGTAGTTTTAAAAGTTAACTTGCAAAGTGCAGATTGTCTCTAGAAAGTTTAAGTCAGTAAGGCATTCGGCATTAAAAATTACATCCAAAGAGAGAGATATTACAACATTGCTACTAAAACATCGATTACGTAATACCTCCTTAATTATAGTGAATGATTTAGATTATTGTTCTCTTGTAATACTTCAGTATGTTTGATTTGTCATCCAATTTCCAAGGATGTGAAGGTAAAAGGAAAGGAAAAATATGGCAGCTACTTCGCGCCACGAATTTTGAATCATTAATGTATCCTTGCTTCACTTTTTGCCGCATTCTGGGAATATTACCATACAAGATCAACGCTTTAACTATTGAGACGTGTAAAACATATCGTATTCTATCGATTATTGTTATTTGCCTTTTCTGTGTTTACGAACTGTTATTATTCTATGACATCAATTTTGGAAACAATATAATCAAAAATATTCCAATTAAACTTGAACGTAACTGTTACTATTTTTTAAATGGTTTTACAACAATCGTCACATTTATTTTGTGTGGACCACGGATGCGATTACTTCAGACCATAAGAGAAATTTCTTTGAGATTGCCGCAGAAATCGTATCAGAATCTATCTAGACTGATCCATACCAAGGATATTTTTGGATTCTTTTATATAATTGTGCAAATATCAATATTTGCTTATAAATTCCAATATGCCGTCTCATATTACATTTTTACAACATACATCCATTTACTCGTGTTTCAAATGGATATGTTACACATGAATTGTGTTTGCGTGTTAAAAGCTTGTTTCAAACAAATCAATGATAATCTGGATTATCTGAGAAAACACATGACAAACGGTGAACCACATTTTTTAAGTAAAACTTATCACAAGCAGACAAATCCGTTTGTAGTAATGCAACTCAAGGTTCTGATGAAGCAACATTTGGCAATCAGTGATACAGTACAGATGCTGATAATGAACTTCAGTTTGCAATTTCTTTCTACGATAATTATGGCTTTCATTGAAATCACTTTCAACTTGTACTATTACTTAGTACAAGTACAAAAAGATGTGTTTGTGGACGACCAGATAAAACAAGTCTTTAACGAGGTATTCGTTACAGCTGTAATGTATGAAACTGTAAAAATAGTGTTGATAGTTTGGGCTTGTCAATCTGGCAAAAATCAAATCTTGGAGATAAATACTACCGTTCGCGACATGTATAACAGCACCAGTAATAAAGATGTAAAATATGAGGTAGTTTAAAATTATTTTGATTTAATTTCATGTATTTTTCTAATTATATCCTGCGTTTACCAATGCAACTTTTAATATTACTTATTAAATTTATAATCACGTTTTTCAATCTTATTTAACAGATTTTTGATTTGCAGTTACAGTTATTTTCCTTGCAATTAATGCATCGTGATAATATATTTTCCACAAAAGTACTTATTGTGGACGCTACGCTTCTCACTACGGTGAGTGAATTATCATTTTGCTTTTGTTAAATAAATATAAGTATAATTAGCTGTACTTTGTGATTTTGCTGTTTTTAGATGGTGTATGGCATTAGCATGTATCTGTTAATTTTAATACAATTTTTTTTAATGACCAATTCTTGCAATAAGAAAACTAATTTTACAAATGTAGAAGTTTATTAACATAAAGATACTTAAATCAAATATGTAAAATCAAATATATCAAATATTAAACATATTTATTTCTATTATTGTAAACAGAATGCCATTGTGAGTGATTTTATGCTTATAGTTATATTCGTGTATGCATATATGTATTGAGAATTATTTAAATGTCTTATATTACATATTTAAATAAACATTTCTAAACGATATATTTAAGTATATAATTACAGTATATGAAAATATATAATTAGACAATGTATGTAATGTCATTTTAAAGAAAAATCAGTTTGAATTTATCAAATATGTTCAGAAAAATTTTAAATTATTTATTACACTCATGTTATAATCAATTTTACGTCTATAATTAAGTGTTTTTTTGCAACAAACGAAATTCTACTTATCAATTTTTTCGAAATAAAGAAAACGGAATCCGGTTTCTCTTTCTAATTATAAAATATTGTATCTTGTTAAAAAAATATTTGGTGTAATTTAATAGAGATGTTAAAGAGTAATCCTAAATTTTTCACATATTTTTGAATACTTAAAACAGCAAAAAAACTTGGATTGGGCAGAAAAGATCAAGATTATAGATCGTGTGTAACACAGTTAATGTGTAATACAATTTATTTCTAATACACATCAATAATGTATATATAATAAAAAAATTAAAGCATATTTCAGATAAAATGTCGCTATATAATTAATATCAATTATAATTACTAATACGATTATATAGTATATATTAGCAATATACATATAAATAATTCATTTTTTGAGAGAAATTCATTTTTCACTTTACAGACGTCATATTGCTGGCAATATATTAGTACAAAAATTTAATTACAATTTTGCTCATGTAAAATCATATTTCAGCATTCAGCGTTTTAACATGCAATTTTCAGATATTTTTGATTATCATTATAGAATTCAATTTTTTTATGACCAACAAGCATCCAGCACAATTATTTTATTTTATTACTTTATTATGAAATCGTAAATTAACAGATTGAAAAAAAAAGAAAAGTCATAAATTTAAAAGAAAGTACATTTTATTTCTAAAACTTCTGTAATATAAAGACATATTTTTTGCATATTAAAATAACAATGACTAATTTCGAGACATTTTATTTAACTTTAAGTTTACTTATACATATAAATATAAAATATTTTATATATAAATATATAATATTTTATATATTTCATATATAAATATTTTATATATATAAAAAAGCAGATATATTACTTACAAAATATTTGGTTAGTAATGGTCTATAATTTAAGCAAATAATAATACAATTCATAAATACACATGCAATAAAGAATCTCTAATTTATGGGTCAGTACTACATTTGTGTAATTATAGAAGTGCGCATCAAATTATTTTTCCGAATTTATTAACAGTTTCAACATCTTTATAATATGATACTTGATGATAGCATCAAATTATTAAATTGCTTGTCAATTTAATTCGCGATTACTAGAGTAGTTTTAATTGCGTTTATAATCCGGAAAAATAATTCGGTGCGTAGTTATAAAAAAGACTACAATATGATATATGTGCAAATACATTAGTGTATATTAGTAATTCAAGATTGAATTATTTTAAAACAATGAAGATCACCAACTTTGACCGTAATAAGCATTTTTCTAGTATTGATTGTGTTTCTCACATATGCGGTCTAAAATAAAGATTCTTAACATTAATTATAGAAATGTTTATGTCTATATCGGATTCTATCTGTTACTCATGTAACAGATAGAAATAAAATAATAAAAAATAAAAATAATATTAAAAGCTTTTAATTTAATTAAAGCAGTATAAAATATAAATATATATACAAAATGCCACAAGAAAGTAGATGCATTATTGATAATCATAGCAGATCGGAAAGAACATTATGCATGAATACAATAGTAATATTAAATGTACAAAATGCAATTCCATAACTATCGTATTACGTCGTATCCATAACGTCGTATTATTTTTTATCAATCATATCACAAAGAATATT